ACCTACGTATACACGTGTATTTTCCTAACAGCTTCCCCACTTTTGGCAGTCCCTCTCTCTTTGTATTCTTAATTATCTTGAGATGGTCGCGATTAATGAGAAGAGTAAGAAGATGGATCATCTTAAGGGGCGACTGAAGGCTCTTTTCAAGAAGGCGAGGGATAATAAGGCTGAAGTTTCTAAGAAGCTCGTTGTTGCCGTTAAGGAGCTTAAGGCGACGAAGGCTAGCCTGGAGACAGCTCAGAAGGAGGTTGCTTCTGTTTGCCAAGAGGCTACTAACGCCAAAGAAGCCCTTCGTAAGGAGGGATATAATCTTGGTAAGCAGGAGGGCTATGATTTGGGGAAGAAGGAGGGGGTCAAGGAGTTCCTAGCTTCTACAGACTATGCTAAAAAAAGTTCTGATGCGCTGCCAAGGCTGTTGAAGATTTCAAATCCTCGGACGATTTTTATGACCTGCGCGCTAAAGACATGTCGTCCGTTGGTGAGCAGATTGTTGCCCGGATCAATAGGCACATCCCCGGCCTCAACCAAGAATTCCTTTATGATCCTCCTTCTGATGGTGAAGATTCTCCTAGCAGCGAGAGTAATAATGGGTCAGCTGAGCATGATCGTAATGCTGGCGATGGCGACGAGGCTTAGGGGATGTAATTTTTTTGTAATGTACCAAAACAAAATAAAAGTTTTTATTTTCAGATAATGTAGACATTATTATTTATATATGTATAAATGTATAAATTTCTATCAGCCTTCTTCTGTCAATTTTTGAAGGCGTCGATGGCTTAGATGCCCCTTAGGGCTTGGCAGATTTTTAAGAATCTGGTGGATTTGTTGCTTTGTTTTGTAGGATGTAGACTCCCATTTGACTTGACTGCCCCCCATGCCTATTGTAAAATCTTGATTTTGCATGAGGCATGTCTTCTCAGGGGTCGACTTTTTCGCATTCGACCAATTTCATAGCGAATGAATCATATATAATTGAAAGGTTAATCTTAACTACAACATATAAGGAATACACTTATTGATAATACAATCTTAGCTGTTCTGCATTCCATGGATGTTGAACCTTCCTGCCGTCCAAACTTTCCAATATTTAGGTTCCTGGGCGTACTAGCTCCCGGATGCGGTAGGGTCCTTCCCACGTCAGGCCCAAGGGACCAGTGTTTTTTGGCTTCGTACTTTGTGTCACCCTTTTTAGCACCAGGTCTCCCGGGACGAACCTCCTTTGCTTGACCTTTTTGTTATAGTTCCGAGCCGTTCTTTATTGGTAAGCGGCGAGCCGTAGTTGAGACTCGAGCCTTTTTTCTTCCAAGAGGTTAAGCTCTCCATCCATTGCTTCTGCATTGGCATCGTCATTATGTGTGATAGTTCTTAATGTCGGTGTTGTGATTTTGATGGGGAGTACCGCCTCTGTGCCATATGTCATGGAAAAGGGTGTTTCACCCGTGGTAGTTCGACTTGTCGTCCTGTATGCCCACAAGACCTTTGGGAGTTCTTCAGACCATCTTCCCTTTAAATCATCTAGCCTCTTCTTTAGGGTGTACTTAAAATTTTGTTGACAGCCTCGACTTAGCCGTTGGACTGTGGATGAATTGGCGCTGAGAAGTCCTTCCGAATGCCCAAATCATTGCAAAACTTGCGCGTTGAGGCGTTGTCGAACTGCTTTCCGTTGTCAGATATGATCGAATGTGGGACTCCATACTGCATATAATGCTTTTCCATATGAAGCTAGTGCAAGCTCCCTCCGTGGTCGTAGTTAGAGCTTTCGCCTCCACCCATTTAGTGTAGTAGTCTACTGCGACGATTGCAAACTTAAAGCCCTCCGGCGCGAGCTGCAAGGGCCAATTAGGTCGATCCCCCATTTGGCAAAAGGCCATGGGCTAAGAATAGAGGTTAGGTTCTTTGGGGGAGCTCTAGGAATTGTGGCATATTTTTGGCACTTATCGCAACACCGAACATATTGAAACGCGTCTTTTTTAAGCGTAGGCCAATAGTACCCGTGCCTCAAAACCTTAAGAGCTAGATATTGCCCCCTAGTGTGATTGCCACACACTCCTTCATGGATCTCCCGGAGGACTTCTTACGCCTCAGCGCCATTCAAGCACCGCTGTAAAGGCATTGAGTAGCCTCGTCGGTATAGTATACCGTCATACAATAGGTATCGGGCTACTCTATATTTGACCTGCCTCGCCACCTCCTTGTTGTCGGGTAGCTTTGCGTCTGCCAAGTATTGGATGAGGGGTGTCATCTAGTCCTCGACTGGCTGAATGGTCAAGGCCTTGTCCTTCTCATCAATAGTCGGCCGCTCAAGCTCTTCGATGGGGACAACTCCTAGTACATCGAAATCTTTTGAGGATGCCAATTTAGCCAAAGCATCAGTGTTCATATTCTCAGCTCTTGGTACCTGTAGTATCTCATAGCTTTTGAATTTGATGAGTTCTATTTTTACCTTTCTCAAGTATGCCCCTATTCTTTCGCCGTGTGCCTGGTACTCTTCTTCTACTTGCCCGATGACTAGTTGAGAGTCACTGAAGATGCTGATCCTTTGAATCTTCAAGTGACTTGCCAATCGTAACCCTGCGATCAATGCTTCATACTCAGCCTCATTGTTCGATGCTTTGAATTTGAATCATACCGCCGAGGTGATCTTCTGGCCCTCTGGACTGATAAGCATGACGCCGGCACCTGACCTAGCTTCACTCGACTCCCCATCCACGTAGAGTTTCCACTCGGCTGCTTTAACTTCTTCGTTTGTGGCTGGCGTTGGCCTGTGAGAAAATTCTGCAAGGAAATGAGCCAACGCCTTTCCCTTGATGGCTACTCGTGGTACATATTCGATGTCGAAATGGCTTAATTCTACCGACCATTTGAGGAGTCGACCGGAGGTCTCGGGTTTTTGTAGTGCTTGCCTTAATGGGTGATTTGTAAGGACCTGAATTGTATGGGCTTGGAAGTAATGCCGAAGCTTCCTCGAAGCTATCATCAGGGTGAGAGCTAGCTATTCCATTTCAGAATATCTAGACTCGGCATCCAAGAGTCTCTTGCTTACATAGTACCCTTTCTTCATTCCTGGTAAGCACGAAACTTACAGCATGCTCAGATACGGAGAGATATAGGCTCAGCCTCTCGCCCGGGATGGGTTTTGACAGAATTGGGGGCATGCCTAAGTGCTCTTTTAATTTCTGAAAGGCCTCCTCACATCGTGGAGTCCATTCAAAGTGATTGCTTCCTTTCAAGGCGTCAAAGAAGGGAACATATTTATCCGTCGCCTTTGATATGAACCTGTTAAGAGTGGCGACACATCCTGTCAACTTTTGCACCTCCTTTGGGCTTGTAGGAGACTTCATATCCTGCAGGGTTTGTATCTTTTCTGGGTTGGCCTCTATTCCCTAGTTGCTGACCATAAAACCAAGGAACTTTCCGGACCCAATCCCGAAGGCACATTTTAAGGGGTTCAGTTTCATGTGGTACCTTCTTAGCACATCAAACATTTCTTTCAAATGAGTAATGTGCTGAGTTGCCCTAGCACTCTTTACCAGCATGTCATCAACGTACACC